TTTCCTTCCAACTTATCTTTAACATTATGCGCCAGCACCCCATCTCGAAAGCTTCTAGGTGGTCTCTATCTTTCTTTGTTAAGTATATTCCAGCTTTCACTGCCATACAGAGCAACACTCCAAATATAGGTTTTAATTAGCTTTTTTCTGATGTCAATACCTATTTTACAACTGTATATGTATCTATTTGATGTAAATGCTTTTTTAGCTATAGCGATCCTTGTTTTAATTTCTATGTCTCTTTCACCCGCTTCTTCAATGATGCTTCCTGTAAGTGAACTTCTTTACTTGTTTAATGAGTAGGTTGTCTAGTTTAACATTTAACTTGGGATTGTTGTTTTTCGCTATGACAAGTACTTTGGTTTTAGAGACATTTATTTTCAGTTAGAAATTTTGAAAAAAATTGACCATGATGTTCCTCTGACTCTGCTATAAGGGCTATGTCATCAGCGAACCGTATCCAGTGTATATGTATGCCGTTAAATTTTACTCCTTCTGCTTTTTCTATAATTTTTTAATGGCTTCTTCGATGTAAAGATTGAACAAGAGGGGTGACAAGCAGCAACCCTGTCTTACGCCTTTTTTGATCGTACCTTTCTTATTTGAGTTGTTTATTGTTACTTCAGTCATCTGTCCTTTAAATAACTGATAGATTACCCTCCGATCTTTCCAGTCAACATTCTTTATTAGATAATCAAATTATCTATACATATAATAAAATTGTAACAACCTCATGTCTGTACATTAAAGATATTAAAGAAAAACTAAGATGTGGGATCTTCAAACAACCAATAGAAGCCAAAAATATTATTTAAAAAATGTTTGTCTGTCTGTCTGTCTATCTGTTTGTCTGTTTGTTGTCCGTCTTTCACGCAAAAACTACTGGACGGATTTTGATGAAACTTTTTTTGTTATATATTAAATCTAAAATGCGAGACGCCAGTAACAAATTATCACCTAGATCGTATTTTTCGTAAAATATGGATTGGGTTGTGTTATAAAAAGTTATAAAACTTTCGATATTAATTACCAGTAAAATAATAATACGGAATTAATAAAAACGTTGAGTTTAGGTGGAGTTTTAAAATTTATAATTATTCCGGTTACATGAGCATTTTTATTGAACAAAAAATACTGTTGCGATAAAATTTATAGTAAGTCTATAACTCACTTGTGGAACGTTCACTATAATAGAAATTGGGCTAATAAATTATTATTATTATAAACTATTACTTTGACGCAAGCTATATAGGTAACTTAGTAGAATACGTTTAAATTTTGCGGATCAATTGAGATGCAATCAGATAAACTCTTTGTTTAAACGGCACATAATTATGTAATCTTCAAAGTGTTTTGGCTTGAAATTGCATTATGTAGGTATTAATTTAGTTTTTGTTATATGAAGGTTATTTTATTATTATTTAGGCACTTAAAAAGACTATATCTAGTCACAAAACTTAACAACTTTTAATAATCATTTTTCTTTGAAACATGAAAATGAATTTGGATCTCGTGAAAGTGAAATAAGTGTGTTTTTTATGGTAGGTCGTTTTCTTTTTCCTACCGAGATAAGCTTCCAATAAGTAAACAAACACTTTTAAATTTTTTGAGAACAACAAAGCCTTAAAACTTATTTAAATTAAACTTGCAATCTTATAGGTAGTTTTAAGGGTCATTCTTCAAACGGTCGAATATTTCGGTCACAGGGTTGTAAATGCTAAACTATACAAGTTTGGACATATCGATCGATTGGACATGATTTAACACTTTAATACCTATGTGGAATCGATTAAAAAATCTTATTTTATATTCACTTAGTATTTCAAAACCCAGTCTGAAAGTTGAAAACGGGAGGATTTTTGGTGTTCTCCGCATGTCACACCTCGCACTAACTTTTTACAAATTATGATTTTACTACTTTTCTTATGTTTTGTACGCATCTATTGTATATCAAAATAATCGTCATAAAGCAATATATTAGGTGAACGATGAAGAAAATATGTAATGCGTGTAATTTTAAAAATAAACCCGAATATGTATCGGTCACACGATTTCGGACACTTAGCCCAAGCGTGGTAAAATCGGTCATAACTTCTAAGATTATTACCGTATCCAGCTGAGTTTTTGTTCCTCAAATTATTATGATATGCTTCAATAATCAAGCAGAGTGAATGGGCACCTCAGTGTCCAGAACTAAAAATATTTCCAAAAATAAGGGCTGACACAAGTTTTACTACCCTTGCATGTAAGTTACGTGGATTCAAATTTCTTCTAGAATTAATACTCTTAGAGATTCGTCTTTTACAGGGCTGATTTGTAATATAGTCGGGACTATTGGTCTATAATTTTATTTAGATGCAATAAAAGATGGCCGAGTTATTATTAAAAATGCTCTGTTTTTGTAATCTGCGTGGAGTAATTTGCGTGGCAAAATACCCACGCAGCTTACAATTCTTCCCACGCAGATTACACAATGATTCTAAGAGTTAAATAAAGGTTGAAATAACCATTTTAAATACTATTATTTTACCTAATATTCATTAAAAAACACACGAAAAGAATTATTTTGGCAATAATCATCAAGTTTTTGAGTTTTCATATAGTTATACTTGGACATAGACTTTTTACCAATTTTGATGGATTTGAGTGCATGTTTTGTCAAAACATACTGGACGTTGCCTCTATTCAACCATTTAACTATGTCTCGCAGCAATTTTTCGATGCCAGTGATCGTTGTCTCATAGGCTTGATGTGTATTTTGAGGCCAAAAGTCAAAATTGTAAGGTAGATCAGATAATACGCCAGCGACTGTATTGAGACATAGTGCTCCTGATTAATCTCTTGTGCTGACAATCTTGCTAAATTTATCTTCGCTTGCACTACCTATTTCTAAAGAAGTACAATGCCAAAGCTCCTTAACTTGCTTATGTAGGTATCATTGGTTCATAAACAGGGCGATAGCGTTAACTCGATTTACTGTTACGTCATGGTGAGGAAGAAGGTCTCCATCAGACGCGTGTCATATAAGTCTAATGTGAAGCAAACACCTGCAGCTGACCTGTCTTTCTTGCGGATCCAGCCAGGGAGGCCAAGAGGGTCGCATAGGGCTTAGGCAACCCTGCGTATGCCATAACCGTGTCCTGGGCGACACAATATCTGTGGAGAGTCAAATCTTCCTGATATTATTTAAATCTACTGCAATTGACGGAGTTAGGCCATGGTGAGTTAACTTGTTAGTTGCCCCTACCAACTGCGGCCGTCAATATGACTTTCACCTAAGACTACTGGGAATCTTTTTGCGTAAGCTTGGGCAAACGTGGCGAACTTGCCACTTCGCTTGACATTTCGAAGGCTTTTAGCTGGACTAAGTCTGGCAGAAACCTTGACCTGGCACCTCAGCAAGCTTCCTGTTTTTGACAATCCAGCTGGTTTTTGTAATCAATAACAGCTATCTCTCTGACCTCAAGGCCATTGATGCCTGTGGTCCTCAAGGTTCGCTCCTCTCGGCGATTTTTCCCTTCACAACAGCTTTCAACTACTTAAGTTTGGTATTCATAGGTATGCTGAAGACAGTGCCGTCACAGAGACATTGTCAAGTCCAAATCGGCAGAGCAGAAATTGCGTTCTATAGAGAAAGCCCTGGTCTCATTCAATGCTACCACGACACAGGAGCTTTATTGCATCTGAAAGTAGTCCTCTCGACTAGACAACTACTTTTCTGAAGTACACTTATTTCTGTCATTGCGAATAGCTTGACTGGGCATTGTTGCTGTCATCAACCACACTTGTAACTAAATTTAAGTATCACCAATTGTTATTTATTATGTTTGCATTAAAGAATTTATATAAAACTCAAGCCTGATCCTGTGTGTAGAAATCCGGCCACCCCTTGGATGACTTAGTCAATAAGTTGCTCTTGATTTGATGGAACTCAATACGACACATATCTGGTCAATACCAATCTACACAGCCTTGCTTTTTGTCGCAAGATGGCCTGCCTAGCAGTCTTCATCATATTTATATTCAAAATCATGCTGAACCAAGACCTCCACGACTTTATTCTGCCAGCTCCTTTCCACCATAGAACACCTGTAAGTATATTTGGCGGGATACCATCCCATCCATATTTAGTTGCCAATCCACGAATTCGGACTAAGCACTCTGAATTGTCTTTCATTATGCACACTGAAAGACAGGAACTAAGATAATTACCTGCATCTGTTGATTCCAAAATCATAAAACCTTATAATCTTCTTATAGTGAATAAAGACTTATTTTCCATGACCTGTGACAGACTCCATCTTTGCCTTATAACCAAGACTTAAGTCAAGAATAATCATATTTCAAGTAAAATTTATAGAAAACTAATAGAAATACAAAGATAAAATTGTCTATGTAATCTGCGTGGCTTGATTTGTAATCTGCGTGGCACACAAAATTTTAAAATTAAATTTCTCGAAAAGTAATTGTGCTAGCAAGGAGCACCAAACTGTTCTATAATCGTGAAAGTATACAGAATCATATTTCATTGTCATCATCTTCAAATTGCTTAAATTAAAATTTGCCACGCAGCTTACGCGGAGAATCGAAATCTGAATAATGACCCTTAAACGGGTAAGAATTGTATCATAAGCGTATTATATAATTGGGATCTCAGAAAAGGCTTCAACGATTTTCACGAAATTTAGAAAATTGGGTTGGTTTGGTTTGGGAGCGATAAATCAGTCTAGATAGGTTTCATTTTACAAAAATCGTTGCTTCACCGCGTTTTTGAAAATTTTTGATAAACTAACAACGCCATCTGTTGAGAGACTAAGGAATTTTGGTAACCCAGGTTTTTTCTTGTTCGTGCAGCATCGTGTGGTATCGTTTCCTTCCACCCCCTATCCACTCAGTCCGTTCTATAATCCATAAACAACAGTAGGTATACGTATTGGGATTGTACTACATTCACAGTGCTATATAATGCTCCTAAATGAAAATAAGAAATTAAAAACATTAGCGTCGGCCAGTGCTTGCACCCGGAACCGTGGAATAGCGTCCCACTGCTCTGCCAACTAAGCTACCGCCGCCTAGCTGACCCTCACGAAATTTTCAACTTCTTGATTCTCGTCTCGAAGCAACGATTTTACCGACATCTATTAGTAGTTGTTTTACAACTTAATAACAGTATCCTTTTTTGAGATTCTTTAGTCAGACAAGTGGCTGATCGTAGAACTAAGTTAAATAATATTATTTTAACATGTTTTTCTGTACAAAACAGTCCACCACCAAAAAGTAGTGCCTACATACGATTATAGGTGCTTTATCATTACTTTATATATTATGTCATACCTACCGAATGAAACAAATAGTTATCTAAAGTAATTAACAAAGAATTTCAAGAATCAACGAGATTATGAGAATTTTTAAATTAGAAAAATAATAATATTTTGTGGTCAACCACGACGATACTTATATGAATTAGGTAAGCTGCTCTAATTTTAAGTACCTGCCTATATTAAAACAAGTATTCGTTCTGCAATACCTAAATTATATGAAGTGATTTGCAATTAAACGCAAAACTCCAATTACAACAACATTACCGCCACCCCAACATTGTTTTAGACATTAAAAAGTGCTAATTATTCTTTAATTCTCTTGCAGAACACGTCCAACAATAACAGGATCTCATGTTAAAGAACTTGCTGGCGAGCGAAGAGTTGCAACTTATGGATGAGGCCATAAGAGTGAGCAGGATGGTGATATTGACACGGCCTTTCGCTTGGACGTCGATCGGCTAAGAGTGGCAAGCAAATGTTAGTAAGCTCAGTGCGCAAGTGTGCGCCGCGTCGCTGACAAGTCATATAGGTCACAGTTTGACATTTTATCAATATTCTAACAGGAACTAGTGACTTTTGACACAAGATGGCGTACAGGTCAAGCGTGGGAGTGGTGATGCTCGCCTTTTTAGTTGGTGAGTTTAGTTATAACTTTTTAATAAGGATTCTAAGTGAAAACTTTTCTTTGTGTAAACTTTCAAACAAATTTTAACAGTAGTTCTATTTTGAGAAATGTTTCGAATATAAACAATATCGATCGTACATGCGACATGAGCCTCTAGCAACAATAGTGAATACGGTACTTATCTATATTCATATACGTATGCGGTAAAGACTTCCAAAAAAAGCTTGACCTATAAACTTTACCTCATTGATATGCAAGTTGCATTGCAGTCTGTTCACTGGAAATGCCAAGCAACTGACCGACCTTGCCTCTTCTAGCATAACAATTAATTCCTTGACGATCTTTGATATGCAGGATTAATTTTATTAAGTCTTATAGCACTACCTGTGGCTATGTCTTATAGTAACTACCTTATCACCATAGATCATAGACCATATTAATACTGTACTTCAAATGTTCTGGTTTTATGAGAACTAACGCTATATTACGTGAAATGGATAGATAGATATAAATCTAACTAACATGACTGTAAATACTGTAATCTAACGAAACATAAGTAGGTACATTACATCAGAATCCAGTATCTACCTAAAACAACTTTGACAAATTTTATTTAGCATCTACTTAAATCTTAAATTATAAAAGCACCCTACCATGTAACATTTATATTATTTGTATATCAAAAACATCAGAATGTACATAATGTATGGAAACTAGAATCTTATCGACAATCATTTTGATAGTCAGCTATAAAAAATAGATGCACTAGCGATGGGCGTAGCGCGTTGATGTCTTTTCTATGGCGGCGCTCTCATTTTGATATGTTACGCCATGTAAGTGACAATCTGTACTTCTGATGGCTCTATCAATGGTACATAACTACTCTACAGACTATTTTAGCCAGTTGTTGATGTAGTACCTAAATTGTATGTAGAAATAGGTATTTGAATTATTTTTTTACTGTTTTTATAGTATGTACGTATGCACAATTTACTACATTACGGAAAGGTACTAATTGTGCTAGTTTCAAAACATTGCCGCTACTAAAAAGGTCATTCATTACTTAAGGTCTATGATTTTAAGACCCTTGTACACAATAAATAACGTTTCATGATAGTGCGAACGTGAAGGTCACTTTCATGAACAACAGTCTTTATATCGACATGTTTTGTCATACTTTAGTTTCGTTAGGCTGTAAACGTGTTAGGTAACTTTGAAACTCGTTTTTACTTAGAACCAAATATTGCTACATGCCTGTCGTTGTCCAATATGTAAGTATTACAATAAGGAATTTTCCCAACAAACGTTCCGACGAGAAATATGGGGTTATTTTTTAGTCAGTGCGTAAACTTTGCAGAGTGTTTCCACTCGTGATTCTGAACAACTTTTACTATGGGGCCACCTGAGAATACGCAAAAAAAAATTTGGATGTTCCATAGAAAAAATTCATACCTACTCGGCAAAAATGTATGGAACACCCAAAATTTTATTTTAGATTATGTATGTGTTAGTATGTATTAGTAAAATCCGAATCTATCACTAAAAATGCCATCAAAATCAAGCCATTGGGATATAATTGGTAATATTGATTTCCACAAACAAACAAACACTCTCTCAGCCCAAACACCGTTACGTCGCAAGTCAAAAAGTATTAGTGTTATAAGATTTATATTGAAAAACCAATCCACTGTTGAACATTTTAAAATTTTTAATTATATAGATCTACCTATATTAAGAATGTAGAGCAATGAAGAATCATTAACTACACGTTAAGACATTGGAATTTCCGGCCAAACGATCGAGCAAAATATGACTGAACATTGATTTTCATGGACGAGTAACCCTTAGTTTATAAAATCTGTTCAATGAAAATAATGAAGGTAATTTATTTAAAAAATACTTATGTCGCCCTAAATTTCAAAAAAATACTTGAAATAAACGCTGCCATAGCGGGATTTGAACCCACGGGTCTGGTACTCTGTCTTATTATAATACCATACCATCTAATAGTTGTAAGGCTTGTGTAACTGAATTACTTATGCAAATCAAGTAAAGTTGTGTGGGAGAAAACAGGAAGGACTGTGGTGGGCGGGCGTGCTTCTCTAGAATAATATTAACATGTAATAGTTTTGCTACAACTTTTAGAGTAGGTACCTTAAGAGCCCATTTGACATTTTACCCAGCTGAATTTTGGAATTCGCCGACTTGATGACAGCCCGCGACCCGTCCGACCAGAACCAAATTATCTTGACCCGCTGTCGTCTGCCTCGCCGCCGTCGCGCTTTCTTGGTGGTTTATTGTGGTTTTAATGTTATGTTATGAAGTTTATGATGCAGTATGGTACCCAATCTGTATCATCTTTTTAAATAGAACAACTACTACTACTACAACCACAACAGTCCACTGCTGGACATGGGTCTCCCCTAATTGGAGGGTATTGCAAGCGGATTGGCTAGCGCAGTGCAAGATGTTCAATTTACAGTGAACGCTACTGCCCATTCCCTGGATGAATATCCCTTAGTCGCATTATACGACACCCGCGGATAGGAATGGGGTGATGCTGTTCTAAGCCGGCACCACATAGCAAGGTAAACAGCAACAGATAGAACAACTATTGTATGATTATTGCACCCTTCATAATCGTAAGTGAGCAGAAGATACTAAATATTAGATAGGTAGTTAATTTCAGGGGTACTAATTAAACAAGCATCTTTTTATTAACATTTTTGCCTCTAAAAATATAGCACAGCTACCGATTTATTAACATGGCCACAAATAAAGTGCATCTGAATAATACTATCTTCGCCACAAGATAACATAATTATTGGGAGTAAATTTTAATCCCGCCACTCTTCTGGGCAGACAAATTTGCGAGCGCAGTGTACGTAAGGTAAGGTAACATTATCATAGAATAAGTTGCTCTTTCCTATAGCAAATAGCTAATCAAGTGTTGAATAGTGATTTAAATTGTGTGGTGAGACCAATATTAAGGTAAATAGTTAAAAGACATAGGCACTTAAATGAATTCATTTTTATTATTTTAATTCAATATATTATTATGAATCAATAAGTCGCAGAATCATGATTAAATTAGGTTTTTAATCAAAACCAGACACTAGTTTAAGTCAAAGTTATTTAAAAGTTAAAGTTTATAATCAAATTCTTCCTAGATATTATATAAAATTGCTTTGTTTTCTGACTTTTCATGTTAATTTATAATAAGAAATTTTTTCTATGATAATTAATAAATTTTCTCTAAGATTCTAACTCAGCCACAATAAACGCGCCTCTCAATAAAACTATTTTAGCTGTCATCATCATCATCATCATTGGCCTCATAAGTCTGTGGCAGACGATTTATTCAGTGTCTTAGGCAAGATTTTTCATGGCTGTATAAGCCGATACGGGAGCGGCATGACTTTCCGCACGCTCTATAAGTGAAGGTGGAATTGGAGACTGGCACATGCATATTTAGATGTCGTTTTTATGCGAGACCGGCGAACCAGGCATCATCATGAGTTTAGCTGTAGCTTTATAAATATAACTCAATCAAAAATATTTCAAATTATTTCTTAGTAATTAACTGTAATCTTCTTTTTTTGAGTGGGACACCGAGTTGTTCAACGATTCGATGAACCTTAGCATAGTTCTGTAACGAGCGCCGTCTGCTAAATGCTTACTTTTTTAAGGATAGAATAAATTTTCGGGATATTGTAATACTATACTGAGTGGTGCTAAAATTACAATGGCGAAAACCACGAGTGACTTAAAACCGAAAATTTGCTGGTGACATAAATCCAAATCTGGTGACAACAAAAATAAGTGGGTGTTGGGTGGGTGACATAAATAATTACTGGAGGACTAAAATAATAGGTAGGCGTCTAAGATAATAAACGAGCATAAAAAAGGAAGTGGGTGAATAAAATACATCTAACGAACCCACGACCTGACTAACCAGACCCGACCCACCCGACTCGACCCGCCCGGACCCGACCGATGCGACTCACCCGACCAACCCGACCCAAAAGAGCCGGCCAACTTCACTTCACCAACCCCACCGAATCAAGTGACTAATAGTATCAGGCGTTACTTTGCGGAACTCCATCTTGAAGAAAGTGATAGAAAT